GTGCTGGATCCACGCTTCTTGGTTCACATACGCCACGCGTCCAGTTACGAGTCGACTTCCGCTGACTTGGTGGATTTCTCCCAGGAGCGCGCTGATGAGGCTGGACTTGCCGCTACCGACGGGCCCCACTACGATCGTGAGGGTGTTGGGGGCGATGGTCAGCGAGATGTCCTTCAACGTCATTGGTCCTTCGTTCTCGCTGGCCTCTTGTCTACCACTGGGGTCGATGTTCCAGCTGAAGTTTGCATGTTGCATCTGGACTGTGGCTTCGATGGGGGTGGTTTGAAGTGGAGAGCCCACACTAAGGACGACTTCGTTGAGTGACATAAACTTGCCAATTCGAATACAAGACGCGACGGCTTCGGAGACACCCATGACGGAGCTGGAGAAAACGCTGCACGGCATTCGGGCCACGTTCATGTAGGCCAAGGTCGTGAACGCCACAGAAGTGGTGAGTTGGTAGCCTTGGGCGACGTACACGGCCAAGCAAAGGGCCAACGACAGCACGGGTGCAATGCTGAGGACGATCGTGTTGAGCACTCGATGGTACTGATACGACCGCAGCAACCGCAACTCGTCGGAACGGATGGCGTCGATGCGACGCTCCAAGTAACTTTCCCACGCGTACAGTTTGACCACCCGAACGCCCTGAAGGACTTCGCTCGTGAGCTTCACGCGCTCGGCTTGCACTGTCAAGACCTGGCGGCGGACTTCGCCCACGGCTTTGGACGAGATGAAGCCCCAGTATAGCACTAGAGCCATGGACATCCCCCCTACTAGCCCCACGACTGGCCCCATCGCGATCCCCACGAGAACGAAAAGGACAACCAGGGTCAGCGGGGCCATCAACACCCACGGCCCCCCCAAGTACCCTTGATATACACGTTCGGAGTCCACGCTCGACAGCGTGACGATTTCTCCAGACGACATGGCACGCTTCGCTCCCACCGACAGATGGAGGGTCTTTAGATACACGCAATCCATGACGATAGATTTGGCGTTCACACCCAAGTTGGAGGTCAAGAACTGGCCATAATCTTGCAAAGTCACGGAAAGAAACGACAACACAGTCAAGAGAGTTGCCAACACATACCCTGACGAGATCCCCATCGGCGTGTGGACGGGCTGGTTGTCGGCGAAGGGGGAGGCTTGCAGGAACTCCAAGAGGAACTTGATCACAACGGGCTGTAGAAGCGACAAGGCAGAGCAGAACCCGTACAAGGCCGTGGTCCACAGCGTTTTAAACTGCAGCGTCCGCCACAGCGCCCGCGTGTAGTTTGGATGTGTTTGGGAGCGGACTTCATGTCCCCAATGTGACTGGAACGTTTGATTTAAGTGCGCAGCAGTGTCTTGCGGGCACAGCTGCCACACGTCTTGTTCTTGTAACGGTCTCTTTGCCCCGAGATGGATCAGAGGATCCATCCATAGCATTGTCAGGAGACTGAACCAATTCGCGGCCCCCATTGGATTGGGCAGGTTGCGCCATGCTGAAGTATCATGCACCAACCTTTTTGGAGAGTCCAAGGTCGCGTACTCGCCAACACCGAGTTCTTGTAGGCGGGACCGCTTCATTGCGACCATGGGGGAAGGTTCGACCGCCTGGGGAGGAGTCTGCAGGATTGGAAATGCCACCATCATCATGGTGGATCTATTCACCAGTAAAAAAGAACCCTACTTCCAATCTTGACGTTTTGCAAACAATTAATATTGCTGGTGTCTGGGGGACGTTACACTAGCTTGCCCCACGATGACGACAAACTGTCCTCATCAGAGAAGGTTATGAACCGACGCCACTCACGATGCGCAACGTGGACGGACAAAGCATTTCAGAATTGCTGCTGTCCAGTCATCGGATAGTATTCGAATGCACTGTACTTGGTAGTCTTGTCATGCACGTTATTGGCAGAATCAAACGTTTCTTCAGCTAAAGGCCTTGGCTGCAGTATTGAAAGCAAGTCCAATGTCGTGCTTGTATAGCTACCCTGAATCTATCTCATATTTAGAGTCGTCATTGACGAGATTCCAACAATGGACCGATGCAGCAATCCCCCCATAATGTTACCCAGCAAATGCAACCCCGACGAGAAATACAGTACATATAGTCGTAAGATTACGTGAAGTTAACGTTACTGTATTGACTTTGCAAATACCCCTCAACGCGTGCTGACCACTGCCTGTGTTGCGCTGAACACTGATGGTTCAGCATAAAGGACTGAGTCACATAACGCAAGTATATACTGTATAGCTCACCCATTCTCTTTAGTGCATTGCCAGTCGTAAACGCCAGCAATATGGTACATAGATGGGCATTGCATTCTAAGGCTTATTGCATGTTTGCATAGAGTAGAATCTACAAGGCACCCGACTGGCCCAACCGGGCATGCGACGCCAACTGCGCGAACGGTCCCCCGTCGGTGGCCAAGAGGGCGAGGGGGGCGTCGTACTCCACCACTCGGCCTTGATCTAACACTAAAATGCGGTCGCTGTCCAGGATCGTGTCGAGGCGGTGGGCGATCACGAGC